AGCTAACACAAATAATTCACGTTAACATACGACTCGATTAATTGTTGTTACAATGTTATAATCAGTTAATATTCAACAAAGCAATGGTTGAGACGGCCTACTACATCTGAAACTGTGATAATAATAATTTGTACCATTTAATTCTAATAACACTTTATTTAAAAACTAAGATTTAGTATGTCATACTGTAGTATTTTTGGGATTTCTCTTATTTGCTTTATTTACAAATAAAAGAAATTTGGTTGTCATTAGATATCTGGATGCTATAGGCCGTTATGTAAACTACCACCTCTAGTAAATCTAAAAAACAATAATTTACACATTTTCTTCTAGAACTAGGCCATAGAACCTATTCCATAGGCCTCTATAGGAACATAACACTCAGACTTAAACCATCACACAAACTTTAAACATTTCACTAAGTGCATAAAACCCTATTACATTTAAGCTCATTTATTTAATACATATTATTTAACCGTAATATTTGTATTGCGCTAAATATTGCGCAACCGTGCGCAAAAAAACATTTATTTTATAACATTTGCACAAACATTGTATGGTCGCGCCAAATTGCGCTAAACTTAGCGCAACAAATAAGTTTTAGCGCAACACGTATAAATAAAAGGTTCTAAGATCCGTTACAATGGGAGCTATGATAGATCTAGTTTACAGATATTTTTAACATACAAATAATAAATGCTGATCAGATAAGAATATTAAGATAACTAAACTGTAAAAATATTATCTGCATTTGTAAACTGGAAGTTACGAGTTAAAAGTATAAGTTTTATTAGAAAAAATATGAGAATATCTAAATTTTAACTATTCGCAAACAATTTGGAGTAATAAAAAGCTTTATAAAAGTCTTAATTCTATTATAAAATGCGATTAGTAAACAACTCTGAGAGTTTTAATGTGGAATGAACATGTTGAATGAATGTTATTTTGGCATACCGGAAGTTAATTGATCGGAAGTATTCGGTTCGCATTCACACGTACAAGGTACATAATAAATAGTTTACTTTATAGTTTAAAAGCTAGAAAACAATAATAATAAAGCCACAACGCGCAATTTTAAGTAACAAAGTAATTTTAACAAACAAACAAAATCACCAAAATACAAGAAAGGAAATGATTTAAAAAGGCATTACCTGTTTAAATATTCCTAGAGCTAACCAATTTTGATTTCTATTCCGTTGCAACAAGAACGATATTGGATGCAGAATTAAACAAATCAACTGTCGTACCAACAACTTACTGCAGGCTTCATTAGTCTTATAGCTAAGTAAATAGAATACAAAATCGGTTGCATTAGCTCATAAAGTACTCGGAAAATAAATTCAATTCAAACAGAGAATAAATTCAACAAAATTAGCCTCAACGTAATCAAAATAGAATTTTTACTAACAAACCAAAATCATAATAAAAATTTTCATAAGCACATTAAACGCCAATTTTTGCGAGGTTTTCTCCTAAATAAATAACACTGACACCGATAAGAGCATAAAAAACATATTTATGGGCAAAATTAATTAACAATCCAAAATCAAACTCGTATTAGAATTACTGTCAAAAAGAAACCGATCTACAGACTTGTTTATTTGCGGCTGATTTTTCAATGGTTAGAAAAAAGTTACCTGGGGAATAATTATGATGCTGTCGCGTCAGAATGTTTGTATAAGACAGTGACAGCAACAATTTTATTCAATTAAATCAGCCCTTAGGTAAGGTATTGATTCAGACCGACATACATTTAAAATATATTGTGTAAACCTATATATTGGCATTCCATCATCCATTCAGTTTGTTAGATAGACACATATACGTACAGATATATAGATTTGTGCATGTATAATTATTTTATTCATAAGTGACTCGTATTAATACTCGCAGCTAGTGATGGGATTCTACCTGGGTAAATTCCCAAAATGGGAAAATTCCCGGGAATATTCCCATTGAACCCACCCAATGGGTATTTATTCGGGTATTTATATTTTCATGATCTAAGAACAATTTTTTATCAAAATACATCTTAAAAAAGCACCGCGTTATGCAAAAAATAAACAAAGAAAATTTGAATTTGGCGCCAGCGTTGAAGCTTTGTTTGAACGTACGCGCCGGCGGCGCTGACGGTGCGTGGTGTTTTTTGATTGGTGCATTTCATCTACCTGGTAAAGGTAGATAAAGGTGGCCATGTTTAGTATTCACGTGAGTATCGGATATTGCGGATGTGTCTTATGTATTATACTACAACAATTCTGGTGTTTTGTGTTGAAACTTGTTAACTGGGTTTTTGAAAATTGAACTTGATAATTTTCGCAACGGATTCGTAGTGAATTATTTAATTATTGTTTTGAGTGAGACGATCAAATCGAATTTACGTAAGTATAATTGTTCCTTTAAAATATATTTATTGATTTTATTTATATTAAAATAAAATTATTTATATAAAAATTGAAAAGACCTCTGATAGAAAAGCATACCAATATAAACTTGCTCAAACACTATCATATTAGTTTGTTCAGTTTATATATTTCATTAGAAATCCCGGCAATGGGTATTTTTGTCGCAAGTTAATAAAACATTGCTTAATTTACAATATATTTCAAAATCAAAGATGAGTTGATGACACTTAAAGATGAGTTTTATGAATCAGGCATACGTCCTTCAACTTATTTAACTTACCTACGTCGAATAATTTTCGATTATTCGCGGAAATTGATAACTATAATAAATACTGCATAATTTTCAGTACATGAGTTTCCTGAATTCCATATGTCCTTAAACTGATTTTAACCTACTTTTTGTTATAGATATCATTATGCCGAAACAGAAAAAACAAAAAGTGTGGAGACATTACCACAGCTTACCCGACAAATCAGTCAAATGCACATTTTGTTCAAAAATGTACCGTGTACCCAATGTAACCAAAATGGGTACGCACTTGCTGAAGTGTCCTAAATGTCCACTGGTTATAAGAAACGAGTTAACGGAAAGCTGTGAAGAAACATCGTTAATAGCATCAAATACAACGAACTCAGCAATTACAGAAGGAGGATATGTAACCTCAACACCCAGTGACGCTACTCCGTTGCTCGAATTTACAGAAGAAAAAAAGCGACGACTTACAAAGTTGCTTTCAAAGGCAATTTATGTTACTGGCTCGCCTCTGTCTATGGTGGAACATCCTCTGTGGAGAGAGTTTTTTAAGGAACTCCAGCCACTGTTCGAACTGCCAACACGGAAAGTTGTGTCCACAACGCATTTAGACACGATTTACAATGAAATGGAACGAGAAATAACTGAAGAATTGAAGTCGACTAACAATTTACATCTTCAGTGCGATGGATGGAGCAACCGACGGAACGAGGGTATTATTAATTTTGTGATTGCAAAACCTGAACCCGTTTTTGTGAAAAGTTTAGCTACAAGTAGCCACCGTCACACTGCCGAATACCTAAGTGAAGAAATTCAACAAGTAATGAGAACTTACGGAACGTACAAATTTGTGTCATTGATAGGAGATAACGCAAGAAATCTACAAAAAGCTTTTGATTTAGTTAAACTGGAACATCCGAACGTAATCACACTTAATTGCGTAGCACACACATTGAATTTATTGTGTCATGACATAATGAAAGAAGATGCTATAGAAGCCTTCATATCAGTGGCCATCGACGTAATCAAATCTGTAAAAAAAAAGTCAAATACTGTGTGCGTTATTCAAACAGATAATTGCAGAAAAAGGTTCTGGCGAGCAACTAAAATTGCCCAGTAAGACGCGTTGGGGCAGTTACTTTCATGCTGTGCGTAGTTTGCAAAATAGCAAAGCGGCTCTGCAATGCTTGGCAGTACATGAAGATGCAAAAATGATCCCAGCTGATATTAAAGCTCATTTACTAGATGAAGAATTTTGGAAAATGATCGACGAATCTACAGCTATTTTAGAGCCAATAACAGATTACATATTTAAACTAGAAGGGAACGAATCCTACATTAATGACGTGTACATGGCATTTAAAGATATTAAATCACGTTTGGTCTTTCTTCTACCTGGTTTTTCTTCTTTATTTGACGATAATATCAGAGACAGGATTTTGAATGCAGTTGATAAACGCAGAGAGAACTGCATAAAGCCTATTCATCTAGCAGCCTATATGTTAGATCCAAAATGTCAAGGCATCGAAATGAACGAGGATGAAGAAATTATTGCCATGGATTTCATTCATGAGAAAGGTAGGCAGTTAAATTTGGAAGTAATTACAGATTTAGCCAATTATAGAGCAAGAGAAGGCTTCTGGGCAAAATCTTTTGTGTGGGCCAGCCTCCAGAACATGAAACCTTTAACTTGGTGGAAAGGAATTTGCAAAAACAAGGCTCTAAGCAAAGTTGCAGCTTGTCTTTTAACTGCTCCCTGTACATCGGCTGCAACAGAACGAACTTTCAGCATTCATGGCAACATCCACAGCCTTAAACGGAATAGGTTAACAACAGAAAGAGCTGCAAAGCTTGCCTACATATCTTATAACTGGAATTTATTACATAATCAAAAAAGACGAAGAAGTAGATGAAGACGAAGAGGAACCCATTTCAAGTCCTCTTATGGTTAGCCCATCAACCATAAAAAATATTGAACCTCAGCCATCAACTTCTGGAAGAAATACTAGACAAATAGAGTTTTGCGATGTAACAAAAATATTATCCGATAATAGTGACTTAGACAGTGACTAAATTAGTCTCGATAACATGTTACCATAGAGAGTATTTAAATTTGATGTACTAATTACATTTTTTGTTACCTTGTATTTCAATTTTAAACCATCATTTTAATATTTACACCAACTCAATTGTTGATTAAATGATTTTGGGATTGATGTTTTTGTATTTATTCTATACTTACCAATTTAATAATCATAGAAATTAATATACCCGCCATTTGGAAATTTTCCCGGATATATACCTATTTTGGGTATATACCCAGGAATATTCCGGGTGGAATGATAGAAACTTTCCGAGTCGCACATCACTCGCAGCGCATTTTGACAGTAAGGTAGATCATATTTATTGAGAACAAGACATTTTATTATTTTAAAGTTTATTTAGCAAAAATATGAAGCTGCCATAGTTAACATTATAAACTCTTAAAAGTTAATGAATAAACCATTTCATTACTCGTAACGATAGAATTAACATGTTATCACTAGTAACGAGTAGAAGTAGTATTCTATTACTAACTAGACATTCATTTGATAAAACTAATAGTCAACAAGACCTAAAAACGACACTAGCGCCACACAAAATAACAGTGACTTGATCAATTCCTGTTCCTGTTTGGAGCAACTACTGACTTTATTTGTTTTGAAAATTTATGTACCCGACATGTTTCGTCTTTACAATGATTGTAGTAATCTACCTTACTACCAAAACATGCTTTAATGACATGTAACATTCAATTGATAGACAGCAAAAGCTACACCTATGAAGTATATTGTGCAGTTACATATACTTGTATATAAGCCAACATACATAGCAAGTACGTAGAGAAATAACAATTTCACTATAATTCTATATCACTATGTTATATGGGGCAAGTTTTTTTCTGAACTCCCGGCGAGAATCATAAGAATTTTGATACCTAAAATTAGTTATGTCAATAATGCTTGACACGACTCCAGGATCGAGTCGGGAATGTCCCGTTCCCATAAAACTTTAAATATATAACGTAGAAATAAGTAATAGAAAATATAAATACAAATAACTGCTGACCATTACCATTGTGCTTTGGTAGAAGGCTATACTTTATATATTTTTAAATACAAAACAAAATGCAAAAATGAGACTTCTCATTTTATAATTTATTGGAAGATTATTTCTAAGCGAAAACTCGTTCATTACGAGTTCGTTGGCTAGGCCGTGAAACGTCATTCTATTCAAAATGTCAATTCTAGAGGAAAATTGAGGCAACAATCGAGATTACCGGTAACTATTCGAAGTCAAAATATTCATTAAATATTCGTTTATGAATTCTGTATACAATAATGACTTAGAAATATATATTTATATTTAACGTGGCCGTATCAATTTCATTATAATATTTCTACCTAAACGACTTTACTCGATGAGCTTTAATTAATTTCGGTTTCGACCAAAATTAGTAACAGCACCATCTAACATCGCACACGAACAACATCAACTACATTTCCCATCAACAGATGGAGCCACCAACAAGCAGTCTTTTCGCTTTGATTGGAGCCAATGTCGGTAGATATTACCATTGAAACGGAAGGCGTTTGTACTGCAACACATGTTTGAATCACAGCCTCTAATTTTATCTAGCAAAACTTATTTGGCGTAAAATATTAGCATAATTAACGAGCGCCATCTATGAATCGTTCCCAGTACTAGCACAACATCGTGTGAGAGTTTGGGGCTACCAACATAAGCTCCAGAACAAAGCTATAACATAACTCTAGGAGAGCGAGGCCTTCTCAGGGGACATAGCGTGACTATCGCATTGAATTACACGGAGTATCTAAAAAAGATCAAGCTTCACAAAAAATAAGTCAGAATGACAATTATTATAATGGAAATAGAGCATACAAAGTTTTAAAATGCGTGGTACTGAGAAATATTAGTAAAACTTTTCAGAATAATTCATTCGAGATTCAAATAACAGTTTCAGATCTAAGCGTTTCAAAATGAAATGACAGTAGAACACTATAAAAACAAAAAAACTGCAAAGTTCGATCTCTTTACATACTTCAGTCGTTTTGTACAAACGTATCCGTGGCGTATGTTCTTAAAATTTACGTCACACTCATACTATGACGTCAGTACGTCAAAGCAAAAAATAACCTTAAAATTGTGCAATAAATAGTTGAATATTGATTGCAGGAACAGATAACGTGAGTTATGACGACACGGCTACATTTGTACATCAATGGCAAATACATGTGTAGACTACCTCCCCTGCCCCTCCTCCCCTAGCCGCATGGTTCATACTAGTATAACTAGTGGTGTCGGCGTCTCCGCCGCGCCTGGCATCAGCTCCGTTTATGTGGTTTCCCTCCCGACACAGCGGAGCACTTGTCACACTCCCCACACCCACCGCAAGAGGGCCGGCTGGCATTCACGTCACCCCCACTAAGGCTCGCTGACTTCTTACCTGACCCCACCAACATCTTCAAGGCACCCGCCGACATTAAGTAGAACCAGTACAGCTGGGGTAGCAGTAAGATGCATATTGATATCTTACAGCCAGTCGGCAAGGATCTTATAGCCTGGAATATAAAGCTTGAATTCGTTTGAATGATTTAAATACTGATTCATGTCATACGACATCATAGACTTGATAATGAAAACCAAGGATGAGTTCAACCCAGCGATATAATAATCTGAGAAGATCTCTTGTAGCCTCAAATCACAACGGGACTCTTAGTCATGGAGTGAGTCAGTTCTTATTTTTACTAAATAAAGTATGTCTATCGATAATGACTTTTAAAAATCTCAGATTAATCTAACAAGACAGACTAAAATTGTTTTTTTTTCTCTCTCTTGGATTTTCTTCTGTGTCGTAAAGATTCGATTTCACATACACATCACACCCAGACCCGGAACAACAATTTGTGAATCACACAAAGAGTTGCGAATCCACGAAACTTAGCGAATTTAAACTACATTGAAATTTAAAGGTAAAAATGTAAAATACTCACATCAACATAAGACAGTCCCATGACTCGACTGTATATGAGACAGATGTAAGGCAAGCTGAGTACCCGGCACACGAAGAAAGTAAGCAACATGAGTATGCCGTTAACAACGTACAGCCGAGACGATTTTAGCCTCAGCCGAGATAAGATTCCTCGTACTGACACGAATGGCGTCGACAGTTCCATCAAGTACACAAAACCGAATGTACAGTCGCCCAGGTTACCGCGAAGATACTGAAACAATGGACACACTGTTTATGCATATTTAATTCATCCAACTCCAAGCGAACGCTGGCTTTCGTGCACATCTTGTTCTTCTATTGTGTTTCGAATTACCAAGATATAGAAAGGTTAATTCGTTACGTATGTAGCGACATCTGTATTTCGATACCAAAAATATTTACAGTTATTGTAGTTCGGCTTGGAATCAATAGATGGCGTGTTTAAACTAATCTGGCAAATACTAGATTATTCAACTGATAACAGTATTTTGCATATTCGAAAAATTTACACAGCAGTTATAACAGCATTAAGAAGAACAAAAATTTTTAAGTACAATACGATGTCGTAAAGCCACTCACCACAATAACAAGGAACCCGAACCCTCCGATGAAGAGATGGTGCATCAGTATGACGGGTTCGTGCTTGCAGTAATCCAGGAAGGTAGGGCCTTGTTTCTTCAATACCACGCCGTCACCGGACGATAGTGGAGCCGAGCCGTTCTTAGACGGACGACGTTTTAACGCCGTCACGTCTGGATTAGAGTTCATTTGGACATGCACCTGGAATTAAAAAATAATATTTTATAAGGACAAGGTCGCAACAAGCTCCCGAAACCGCTGCAGCTCATGTAAGCCAAGATCTTTAGTAGATAAAGCTAGATTCTAGGGACATGAATTCATGAAACAGGGACTGTCTTGGATCCTGCAACGGAAAAAATCAGAAGATATTGTATTTGAGGAGAAGAAAAAACTAAATAGTTTCCACTTCCCTCGCAGGAGACAAAATGACTTAAGGCTCAAAAGAGACTGTAAACTGGGAGAAACCTAGAGTTATTATTTAAATACCTTGGAAGGCTGACGTTTCGACCTGGTTGCACAGGCCGAAAGTCGTGGTCCACGCCCACGCCTACCGTGAGGAATCCTGGACCTATATTATAATTATAAGTTCGAAATCGTCAATCCGCTTCGATGATGTGACTTACCATATACATGCTCCATATGTCGTAAAAGAAGTATGCGGCGCCAAACCAGGCGTAGGCCTCGGACATATAGTGGGAGCTCCTCATGAAGTCACGGGTGCACGACCAGAGGCAGACCACTGCCCCAGTCACGCACGACAGAGCTGCCTGCACCGCTGATACTAACCTGCAAACACAGATGATGAAGAAATATTTAAAACCTTAACACATTCAGTGCCAAAGACTCGCCCAGAGTCTACGAATTTTATTCCATCGCCGTGGACACGCCCGACGAGTTCAACATAAGGCTGCTATCCCACTATAGTCAGAATTTTAATTCGATTCCTGATTTGACATGACCTACTGTCATTTTGTGAAATAATGATATCACATATAACAGTGTAGTGATGAACACAAAAATCGATAAATTATTAGTGAATCAGTTACAGAAAGGCATTCAAAAAATTACGGCTACCGAATGGTCTAAATGCGTATCCCATGTTGTCAAAGAAGAGGAAAAAATGAGTAAGCTAGATATGTTAATTGACAATAAATATCACAGACACAATTCATAATAAATGTTACAGAAAGTAACAGCGATAGGGATAGCGATGACGGCGACAATTTATAAAATGTCTGTTTTATTTGTCATGTTCCTTCATGGTCACATTTTTAAATTATTTCACACACAATTACAAAAGAAAAGTCTCAAACCGTGAATTAATTGTCAAAACTAAATTATCGGTTCAGAAATGTTCGATTTCCATATCGAATAATTTCGCAACGTCACTATTTAGTACGTGTCATAACGTTGCAACACTGAAATTATCAAATCTGGAATGGAATTAAAAATCGGAGTATAGGCGTTTTACGTTTTAAAACGTAAAACGAAACGAGGAAATTATTTATATAATGTCTCATTATATATAAATAATTTCCTAAAAAGTATTTACCCATCCCAAACACAACTTTTTTATGTGATAGGACGGCCAGCGAGCAAACAGATTACCTGATAAGCAATCAGCGCCACCCATGGACATCCGCAACAACGTAGAGTTACGAGTGCGTTGCGACCTTTTGGGAATTAGGATTTAGGACGGGGAAGAATTAGGCCTTCGGAACTACAACTCTAATAAGATACTATCACGTATTTATAATTCATCAAACTCCAAGGGAACGCGTTCGCACAACTATTGTATTTTTAAGTCATAGGTATCTCGGCAAACGAGCAGACGGATTACCTGGTTGTAAGCAATCAGGCAGCGCCGCCCATAGACACTCGCAATACTAAAACAGTTACTACAAGTGCGTTACCGGCCTCTTGTGGGTTATTAGGCATTTAAGGATAGGGGATTTGAGGATTGAGGATGGGGAGGGGAAAGGATTAGGCCTCCTGTAACCTCACTCACACGGCGAAACACAACATAAGTGTTGCCTTACGTCGATTTTCTGTAAGGCCGTGTTGTTATTCTAGGTACATACTTACGACATATGTTTATTTACGCGGGTATTAACGCGGTAAATTATTATTTGAATACCTTGCAGACCACGACCAGAGAGATCAGTCTGCTTGTGACCACGACCTGTGCAACCGGGTCGAAACGTCAAGCCTACCAAGGTATTCAAATAATAATTTACCGCGTTAATACCCGCGTAAATAAATATAATGTTGTTAATATGAAAAAAAAAGTTTAAAAGATAGTAGGTACATACTTGTTGGTAATGTCGAGCACATCACCACAGCTGAGCCGGTACTTGTGTCTGAAGCGTGCGCCGGCGCCGGTGGACAGCGCCAATGAGTTGAGCAACTCGAACAACGTCATGAAATAGACGAAGCCGAGTGCCGTCAGCGCAGCGCCGCGCTTCACTGTAATTCTGAAAATGGAAAACAAAAACACTTGAATAAATTGGTTTTAAGTATAGGTACTAAAAAGTTATTAGCTTTCTCAATAGGACGGAAACTGAAGTCGTAAGTAGGATAAGAACAAGAGACTCTTTAACATAACTAATCATTATAGTAGGTGATATTTTAGATTATACATTCATTAACTTATCTAATTAAGAAAGGTGGCATTTTTTAATAAATACCGGCCTTACTAATTCTTTCTTTATGGAATCCTATGTATATACCTAGTATTTAAAAAATCATCAATTTAAAATACAGTAATTTACTATCGAGTGCATTTTAAAAAAAGGCGAGATTCTCACGAATTGACTTCGTACATAACCAGTTTAAATAAACAATATTACGTATAATTTTAAGTACTAGGTATCATCTTACTCTATCAATATTAGATTTATCCAAACAAACATTGATGATAATGGCATGGCAAAATCTTAGGTTTTATCTTTCTACAGACAACAGAATTTACGAGTAATAATGAAAAATTTACGAATAGTTTTGACAGATAGCAATAATAATAATATGTGTGGATACTTAAGTGTTTGAAGTGAGAAGTAAATCGAATAAGAGGTGCTTAACTTGACTTGGGAAGTCAGGTCATTCTACCATTACGGTGCGTAGCGTTTCAAATAGCCCTACGGGGCCCTATATTACGGGGTCACCGCGCCTCGGACCAGACCAGGAGAAGGAACGGGAGGGGGGGGGGGTGTTAGTCAGTAAGAGTCTGACACGCTTTCGCCTTACCCTGGCCGGAAGAAGTGCCAAAAGAAACGTCTCAAGTGACCTTCATACCATTACGAAATGCAGCCCAGCAAAACTGTGAACCACTGCACTAATAACTTTTTCCGACCTAAAACCTAATCTCCACGTTTTGATGGTAGCCATCATAGCTTTAAATGGTCTGTTTTTAGCGTGTAACTAATCGAATGCCTTCTCCCGTTTTGGGTAGGGCGAGAAGAAGTGTAAGATTCTGCTCCATTTTTATCAAAGTAGTTCTTTAGTCAGCATCAAGTTGTTTAGTCAGTTATTCAAGTGATGTTTAAAACTTAGCTTTACTTCCATGCACGATCCACGACTGCACAAAGTACCACGGACACGACCTTAATAAATTATTATGAAATCGTTAAAGTACTAATAGGTATGACGATGTATGACATCGCATCGGAAATATTTGTATGGTTTTATGTTAAACAGATTATAATAAAACATCAAGTCATGTTATCTAGCGGAATTAGTATAGTGACTTAACGCCTCACACCAAGCCATTTCAAAACAATAGTGGAAAAGCCTTACTTTGCTTACTTGGTTCGGCTCGACCGGAGTTATACCACGGCCTGGAAATCAACCACCGCGGTTTCGCCGTGTGAGTGAGCTTACCGGAGGCCCAATCCCCTTCTCTCCCTTCCCAATCCATAAATATCCGAAACCCTTATGGCCGGCCCATTCGGCCGGCAACGACCTCGTAAATCCATTGGTGTTGCGAGTGGGAGATGGGAGGTGCCGATTGCTTACCATCAGGCAATCTGCCGGGAGGCGTGTAACTTCATTTGCGTTGTGATCGCCGTATGAGTGAGGTTACTGGAGACTTATTAGCATATGATCTGAACTAAGTCTGTTGGTTGGCTGTTGTTGATCCCTATCATAAAAACCGCAAACCCTATCATATAAACACCAAATCCTCAATCGGCACTTGCGATCTATGTAACAAAACATTTCAACTTTTACTTTCTTTATAAACGAAACGGCTCCACCCAAACCTTCTGAAACAAACAATCACTGTACAATTCCTTACACAATACAGCCCTATATAGGTTAACGAAGTCCAGAGAGACGTTAATCACACATCACACGTGTTTCAGTGCAAATATTAACGCTCCACGGAGATTTCTGTCGGGCACGCTACCATAGCAGCGGTAAGACCCCTCTTTGAGGAGTGGCTTGAGAGACGCCACGGCGTCCTCACCTTCCGTCTGACGCAGGTGCTTACCGGGCACGGCAGCTTCGGTAGGTTCCTGTTTCGGATTCAGCGGGAGGAAACGCCCGAGTGTCGTCATTGTGAGGACCACCTAGAGGATACGGTGGAGCATACGGTAGCGGTATGCCCTGCCTGGGCTGAGCACCGCCGTATCCTCAGGGAAGTGATCGGCGGCGGCGACCTCTCGCGCCCGGCCTTAGTCGAGGCCATGGTGCGGAGTGAGAGGAACTGGGACGCCGTCTCCTCCTTTTGTGAAGCAGTCATGCTCGCAAAGAGAGAGGCGGCCCGCGTGAGGGAGCAATCCTCCTCCTCACGCCCCAGCAGCCGCAACTGGCGACACTACGGGCGTCGGGGATCGAGGGACGATCTCCGGCCACCGTAAGTACGGGCCTGCGGTCGGCGAGTAAGGGCAGCTCGCCGCCCGACCAGAACCAGGCCCGAGCGTACGGCGCGTAGCGTTCCGCGCGCACCTCAAAGAGCCAATAGACCACCACAGACGGGGCCCTAAAGGGCTGATGTTCAGCCGGGGTTGCGGGGTAAGCGCAATGAGGTACCGCGACCTCGGCACAGAGCCGGAGAAGGAACAGGGGGGTTTTTAGTCAGTAAGAGTCTGACACTTCCTCCTGCCCGGCCCTGGGCGGGAGAAGTCATTTGATGATTTTCCCCTCACAAAAAAAAAAAAAAAAAAAAACGGAGATTTCTGTGCCAAGGTTATTTCGTACAATCGACCTACATTGGAGCTTGTACTAAATGGGAATTTATTAATGACTGAATAGGTTTACATTTGAATGGAGCCCGGAATATGGCAATAGGGTGATCACTTGGATCGAATGGCGTGATGTCTAAGTTCAAAACTGAAAAAATGCCAGGAAATGTCATGGTCAGGATGCATTCATTCATGCATCCGCCGCCGTCGATTAAGAGAACTCTGCACTTTTAATGCGATTTTATACTCCGCTTACATGTGATGGAAACTAAAGCAAGTTTTTGATTTGGATGGATTTTGGATTTTGTAATATTCAGTATCTTCTAGATAATCTAGGCTATCAGCGGTAATACAATACTTAGGCTAAGTATGGTCTCACTTTAAAAATCATCATCATCATCATCAGCGTATAAGTGCCCACTGCTGAGCAAAGGCCTCTTCTCATACGGAGAAGGTTAGAGCATTAATCACCACGCTTTCTCAATGCGGGTTGGCGATTTCAAACTTATAATTAGAAATCATAAGTCCAGGTTTCCTCTCGATGTTTACCTTCACCGTCAGACAATCAGAAAATCAAGAAAAATCAGACAGGTCAAACTAATTTCTAAATTCACAACTACTTTTTTAACTTCGGGAAAGGTAAATAACAGGATTCATGTAAGCAAGATGACAAAGCAAAAATAATGTTCAGAACACTGTCATCACTCTTATCAAAGGGAAATATTTCACTATTTCAACATTATCATCATTTTTTCCCTTTACAATGTTGATGTAGGAATTTCTCGCACTCTCGCTATCTCTTGTCCTTGTATTTTAATGGCGATGACGTCACACTACAGGTTAGTTATCTGAGTAGCTATTAACTATGGAACTAGTAGTGTAAACTAAAGAAGCGAAGTTAGACACGTCACGTACGAACTTGTAACAGCGCAGTTTATTTTACGAGTCCATTTTACATAAATTTCATTCTGCTAAAATTTGGATGCTAAGGATTGGAGACCCCCTTACCAAGCAGTCTAGCTCTGCGTCACTATTTCTTGATATATCAATTCGAAATGCATTTAGGAACTGGCAAACATCAATTTCCATATATATAATATCCTGACATTTTTATGCTAAATATTTAGTACGCACACCTGCATTCAATATTGCCTCTAGAACCAGAGCTTTACGGTAGATTTCAAGTGCTCCAGTTCTGAAGTCACAGTACATGATATTTCATAAACATTACGATAAACGCAGTGAACTGAAAAGCTATTCGAGTATGTAAAATGACGAGGTTGATTGGAAAACGAATAATTACTTAATGGGTATGTATGTCACTCTGTTATTGAAGTGGAATGAAGGGTTCTAGGACATGATAGATGGGGAACTTCGAGCGGCCATATGACCATTCCATACTGCTTGTGCACTCCTCGCATGGGCATTGCGTGGTGCACGATCCGTGGCGATCAGAGTACCCAGGCCAAGTTTAAATCACGTCAAAGCGAAAGCAACGTTACCGCTTCAAGCCCTGCTGGGATTGCGGGGCAAGCGCAATGAGGCACCGCGGCCTTGGCCCAGAGCAGGAGAAGGAGCGGGGTGGTTTTTAGTCAGTAAGAATCTAACACTCTCTCTCGCCTTACTCTGAACGGGAGAAGTCATTTGATGATTTTTCTCTGACAAAAAAAACCGCGTCAAGCCCTCTGATTGGTTGTCTAACTTTAAGCAAGTCAATCAGAGCACCTAACGTCACAAACATGTCATGATGATAAAGTAACTTGCGCTTCGCACTCTATGAGACATCAGAACCAAAAAGGTTAATTTGGTCGCCAACCATAAGCTAGGCTCATCATTGCGCAACGATCTGTGGCCGCCATAAGTGCAAGTCTATGGACAGCAAGCAAGGCTTACTTTCGGCTCAATTCAGAACAGCGTAAGGCGCATCGCGTGTGACCGAAGGGCCGACGTCCAACCGGGGCTGTGGGCAAGTTCAATACGATACCCCCGCTCAGAGGAGTAGAAGAAACAGTGTGGTATTTAGTCAGTAAAAGTCCACCCAAGGAGAGAGAAGAGTAATTCGATGATGTCACCACTAAAAAAAAAACAAACCTCATAATCATCGTCAGGCAGTTTTGCGCACTGTTGAACTCTAAGCAACTTAAATAGCGGACGACAGTTTATTGTTACGTTTTAAAGTGGCTGTAATGATATAGTTAAATGACTTTGACTCTATGACTCTCAGAGCAATTTAACATTAGTAGTATTGTTATGAAACACTCGGTATGGTATGATTTCTATAATCTGGTGTT